TGAGGTCTCGCCTGCCCAGGCGGGTCTCGAACCCGCGGGCTCAGGCCATCCACTCACCTCAGCCTCCCAAAGGCGCGGGATGACAGGCTCTCCTTTCTTGAAACCCTTCCTACCCCTTCCAGGCTCTCTGAAGCTGGTGACCCCCGAGGGAGCCCCAGCCCCGGGCCTTCGCACACCTGAGATCCCCATGACAGAAGCGGTGGAGGCCGTGGGTATGTCCAGGGATGGGAGGGCCCAGGGTCAGGAATGGAGGCTCAAGTGATGCCCAAGGGTGACGGACGCTGCTTTCTCCCCAGCCGTGGTCGGGGGCCAGCTCCAGGCCTTCTGGAGGCATGGAGTGCAGGTGTGGGCTCTAGGCTCGGACCAGGTAAGCTCCTCTCTCCAAACTCCACAACCTTGGCCCCCCGCCTCAGTCATGGCGGCTCTGAGCGGCACAAATGGGCTTGGATAGCTGAGTCAGGGTGTGAAGTCCTGGAGGGGAAGCTTCCTCCAGTCTCAGCTCGTGTAGATCCCTTTCTCTGCCCCAGAACCTCTTGAGTTACGGTGGCTTCCTGGGTCACGGTGGGGCATTGTGCAGGGAACTTTGCTGCCCTCTGAGTCTCTGCTCCCCATCTGTAAAGTGGGGATCGCTGTAGAGATGTATGGATGGTTAACAGCATGGACCAGACTGCCTGGGCTGGAATCCAGCTGAGTGACCTTAGGCAAACGACTTAACCTTCCTGTGCTTCACTGTCCTCATTTGGAAAATGGAGAGGAGGGTGGTGCTTATCTCTTAGAACTCTAAGTCAGACTTTAGTGTTTGATTTCATCTTCACCACCTATCAGGGAGGTACTGTGATTTCACAGGTTAGTAATCTGAGGCACAGAGAGGTTAAGTAACTTGCCTGAGGCCACCCAGCTGTTACATGGTATTGGCAAGAATAGTTATTTCTGGAACTGAAGCTAGATATTCATTTTAAAATTGTTTTCTTTAAAAACACTTTTAAAAAATAAAATAGCCGGGCACGATGGCTCACATCTATAATCCCAGCACTTTGGGAGGCTGAGGTGAGAGGATTGCCTGAGCTCACAGGTTCAGGACCAGCCTGGGCAACTTGGTGAGACCGCATCTGTGTAATAAATCAAAATATTAGCTGGGCGTGGTGGTGCGTGCCTGTAGTTCCAGCTACTTGGAAGGCTGAGGCGGAAGAATCTCCTGAGCCCAGCAGGTCAAGACTGCGGTGGCTGTGAGTGTGCCACTGCACTCCAACCTGGGCGACAGAGTGAGACTCCAACTCAAAACAAAAACAAAAAAGCCTGTGCACTGGCTCACACCTGTCATCCCAGCACTTTGGGAGGCGGAGGTGAGAGGATTGCCTGAGTCCAGGGGTTTGAGACCAGCCTGAACAACTTGGTGAGACCTCCTCTATAATAAATAAAAAAATCAGCCAGGCATGGTGGCATGTGCCTGTAGTTCCGGCTACTTGGAAGGCTGAGGCAGAAGGATTGCTTGAACCCAGCAGGCTGGGGCTGCAGTGGCCGTGAGCATGCCACTGCACTCCAGTCTGGGCGACAGAATGAGACTCCTACTCAAAAAAAAATATATAAAAAAATAAAATAAGCCGGGCTCAGTGGCTCAGCCTGTAATCCCGCGCCTTTGGGAAGCTGAGATGAATGGATTGCCTGAGCCCGCAGGTTCAAGACCCACCTGGGCAGGCGAGACCTCA